TATTAACTCTTATCAAAAGGAGACCCACCCCTTCTCTGAGTAGAGCAGCAAAAGGCAAAAGCTTAGCCCATCCCAGGAGAACATAAAAGAGGCACCAAGTCTCTCGACTCTCTCAGCACTCTTTTGAAAGGAAGCTCCAAAGAGGTGTATGACATTTTCCTGCCCAGGAATTCAGTAAGACCAGATGTGGGGTTGTGGAATAGAGAAGGGATGGTGCTTCTTTTAGGAGCTTCCAAGACAGGCAAACCCTTGCCTTTCATCACACTTTTAGGAGCCCCCGGTGGCGCAGTGGGTTAAACCCCTGTGCCGGCAGGACTGAAGGCCAACAGGTCACAGGTTCGAATCCGGGGAGAGGCGGATGAGCTCCCTCTATCAGCTCCAGCTCCTCATGCGGGGACATGAGAGAAGCCCCCCACAAGGATGATAAAAACATCAAATCATCCGGGCATCCCCTGGGCAACGTCCTTGCTGATGGCCAATTCTCTCACATCAGAAGCGACTTGCAGTTTCTCAAGTCACTCCTGACATGACCAAAAAAAAAAATCACACTTTTATTAGGAAAAGGGATGGTTCCTTTTTATATAGGAGTTAATGCATAGTATTTATAATAATTCATGGATCAGTGTTTTTGGATAAATGTTTTAACTAAAATTTCTAGACCTATAAAGTAATAAACAACAATATTTCTATGAATGAGTGAGACTAGTAGAACTCCTGATGGTAGTTCCTCTGATGTTTGCTGATAGAACTTCTGCTTTGGTTATCTTTTAAGGCATGACCATAGCATGATTCTACTCGTAGTACCTGGCTTTTTTTTCTTCTTCCCTTGAATACAATACAATACACAACTTTTTTATGGTCACTGTACAGCACAAAGCAAGGCACAAGTGCCCTGGGAATGGGAAATGCAGCTCCCCAGTGACACAGTTATTAAAAAAATAAACATACTAGAGAACAGTTAAAATCACAGTTTAAAAAACCCAGGTTAATGTAACAGGTATGGTTAATGTAACAGACCTGGAGGTGCCGAAAGGCTTTTATCCTGGCAAGATGCCATGCCCTCCCATCAGCTGTATTGGAGGGGAGTTATTGGAAAACCCTTTAAAAGAAAGATTATGTCCCTGTGAGTCTGGACACATAGAAACAACTGAGCACGTGCTTCTTCAGTGAATGTGCTACAGAAACCTTAGAACTAATCTCATTACACCATGGCTTCCCTTGAACTCAGAGAGATTGCTTTCTATCTGTGGTAAATGACTTGTCTAATCTTGCATCTACCTTATGTATCATTAAAATGCTGTTTCTGGTTGAAATCAATATAACAATAGTTTGGTCTTTGGAAACCACCTTAGGATGTTTTTGTACTGTAGTGGGGTGAGGTTTTTATAGGTGATGGAGTCCTCAGACCCTCCAGCTGTTCCAATTTAGGAACTGCTCCAATTCATCCTCCCGCATTCCATTTTTTTCATTTTTTTCATGTCAGGAGTGACTTGAGAAACTGCAAGTTGCTTCTGGTGTGAGAGAATTAGCCATCCCCAAGGACATTTCCCAGGGGACACCCAGATGCTTTGATTTTTTGACATCCTTGTGGGAGGCTTCTGCATGGGGAGCTGGAGCTGACA